TTGAGAAATTCAACATAGTCGCTCACCAAATAATTTTGAGCAACTCAAATAAACTCTTGATCCATTGTTGTAGGAAAATTATCACACTTTCCAAATCTGCAATAATATTTGAGGGCCACTTGAGTAAAAAAAACTGATAAAATTGTATCAAAGATAAACAATATATCATTGATTGTTGGTATCAAAATGGCCATTTAGCCTAATGTTGTCAGTTTGGAAACAATTCAAGAAACATAAATATGCGAACAAATGTCAAATTGGGTACATTGATAGCTGAATATGTGCTAGACAACCACAAATTCACCAGTGGCTTCTACATCGTTGTTGTGGTAACTTAATATTAAAATTTCAGTGTTTGGACAGCTAGAACCAAATTCAAAAATCTCACATACTACACACTTAGAATGACTTCTGTAATTTTTCCGAACTTTCAACAGTTAAACTGTTCGTTAAAAATTAGGCAATTTATTTCATTTGGTTTAAAGCTTCAAAACTAGGAAAACTGCACCACAATGGCAACCTCGTTTATTAAAACAAGGCTGACAGTGCTTTCAAATTAAAATTAAGTGACACCGCATTTTCAATGAGGGTAAAAGTTTGTCGAACGTTCAGCTGCTGAAAGTTTGGTAAAAAATTACAGAAGCCGGTAATAATTTCTAAGTGTGTAATTGGCAAAATTCTCCATATAAACTTTAACCCATTTGCGCGACCTCCAACCTTCTTCCAGCGTTGGAAAAGTTCGCCAAGGGAAAAGTTCGTGAGTCATGGTGAGTTCTTATGAACTTTTCCATTCACTTCTTCAACCTTTACCATTTTTTGGAAAGGCCTATATTTTGGGGATGGAAATCAAACTGGAGGGTGGCTTTTCAGATTGCAAATACTTCTTTCATAATGAACCACCTTAACGGGTAGCTCAGACCAGGCCTGAACATACTCATTACAGCTAAATTGCTATTTTTCAAAATTATGAAACTATGAAATATTATAATAATAATTTATAGATGTAAGATGCAAGTAGAGAAGGTAAAGTTTGGATATGACACATAAAATCTGTCAATTTCGCTTCCAGCGTGTCACAATTAGCGATTAGCTATAACTAATAGTACTCATTCATGAAGATTACTCATTACAGCTCAAATAGCTTATTATGACCCTATGAAAGCAAAATTGACTGGTTTTATGTGTCATACATAAACTTTACCTCCTCTTCTTGCATCTTACATATACAAATTATTATTATAATATGTCATAGTTTCATAGTTTCGAAAAGTAGGTTATCTGTAATGAGTATGTTCAGGCCTGGCTCAGATTAGAATCTGCCAACAGGGGGCGTTAGTATGCCATTTAAGTTCATATTGTTTGCTTCAACTTCACAGCTTCTTCTATCATCTAAGTTAATCACTAATGACTTCAAAATCACTATTGAAGTCTAGCCTAAGTCACTTTGCAAGCTTTATAGAGGTTTTATAGCATTCTCAACTATTATTTTCAGCTTTATAAGCCAACTTTTCCAGCATTGTGCTGTAAAGTAGTTGAAAAATGCAGATACAGCTACAAGCAGATGCTAGCAAAATAGTTTTAGAGAGCGTTCACTCAACTTTTTCACAACTATTATTCAATCTGTCAGTCGCACTGAATAACATCACCAAATAAACGCGAATGTCACTTCTATGCAAATATAAATCAACTTTCAACTTGTAGCTGCACAACAAAGCTCATAAAGTGAATATATTACTCAGCCATCAAGGCTTCTACACAACCAACCACTCTTGCTGAATAACATAAATATCGAAAGTGCTTTTTCAACAGCTAAACAACCTGTACTCAGCTGACAAACTGTGTTAGCGCTACTTAGGAAGCAGTTTTACAGTCAACTTGGTTTATTTTTAGACGTGTGCAGTTTTACAGCTTTTACAAAGCTGAAGTAACTAGTCGAGAAAATTGTTTCATGTGCACTATTATGCCTCTACTCAGCGATCTTTTTGTAGAAAGGCATGTAAATTTTACGTCAGCTTAAAATGTTGGCGTAGCGAAGTTGGTAGTGTCAAGGTTTGCCAAATGCGGTCGTCTCGAGTTTGAATCCAGGTTCCGATGCAGGGTAAATAATTTAGTGGTGTGCTTATAACTAATTTCGATTAAGCAGAATAAACTCAATCAATCCCTAAAAAAAAGTGTAAACAACATTTAACCCGGTTTCAAGAGAAAGCTGTGTAGTGATTATTGGATAACCGGGAAAAGGTTGAATAAGCGCCTTTCAAGTTCGCACATAACTAAACAGCAGGATAACAGCTGTATAGAAGCGTAAATGGAAATGCATTAAGAGCTTGTTCCAACAGTCCAAACAGCCATAAATAGCTGACTAAGTTCGCCTGATTTGCTTGTGTAGAGGTTGAGTAAAGGTTGCCTCATATCGTATAACGTAATTGGTTCCAAATGTACGACGAAAATCGTATGCTATTTAAATCAAACCTACTAGATAACCATCATCTAACCAGTAAAAGTTCCATATCAAAGCGAGGAATGATTGATCTTAAAACTGCTAGTTAAAGGCCAGATAATGGCAACATTTGTTTTTTTTTTTTTTTTGTTAAATATCGTGAAGGAATATGAGTTCATAACGATTTCAAATATTCTCAGACCTTACTGAATGTAATATTTTATGCTATTTGATTGCCATATTTATTGCTCACATTTCTGCTAATTTCCTCTCTCTTATGTTTTCCACTGAATTAGAATGAGTTTTGATTGAATATCTTTATTTTAGCAACACGCAGTTTTTTGTTGTTTTTTTTTCACGCTATGGGTCATGAGTTCATATTTCATCTCCAGAAAAGTCACGAATGATCTAAAATGTGTTAAAGCGACTATAATACAAAAAAATGCAAATTTTTGAGATGTTTACTGCAAGCTTCAACTTTCTAAACACATATAAAAAAGAAACATTGAGTTGATTTTGATAGTATGGCATATTTTTATTTTAAAGAGATTAGTGTCGTGTTTCCAAAAACGAGATCTTTCTGTGCATCTGAATAAAAAAACATTAGTAGAAAGTGTCTTAATGATTAAATCTGTTTTTGAAATGCTTTTCTTTCAGAGAATTCTTTTTTTCATTTCACTTAAATTCGCTGTATAATTTGAAGTGCGTGCAGTTCAAGAATTCTCGAGTTACTTTGCTTGTATATTTTAATGCGTTTGGGAAGCAATACTGATTTATGAAGACACAGTTAATAGTTAACACAGTTAATAAATTATGAAGACAAAGTTAATAGTTAAGTTCACCAAACTCACAACTCATTCGCAAACTTTGCCCTTGGTGAACTTCGTGAAATATCGTGAACTTTGCCAAGGCTGAAAACAGCTTCTCTCTATGATTCGAATTTTAAAATTTGAAAGATTCAAATAACATCGAAATGCATAGCTAATTCTGTAGCAATGGGAACACAGTAAACATTGTGTATCTTTAGAATTGGCATTATGATGAATTTTCTGGGCTTAGTTGAAATCTATACATATATAAAAATGAATTTCTGTCTGTCTGTCTGACCCTTATTGGCTCGGAAACTACTGAACCGGCTACTGATCGGCTTGAAAATTTGTATGCAGGGGTTTTTTGGGGCAGGGAAAGGTTCTTTTGATGGTTCAAGACCCCGCCCCCTCTGTAAAGAGGGGCTCACATACATATGAAACAAATGTCTGCATAACTCGAGAACTAATCAAGCAAATGGAACCAAATTTGGCATGTGGCGGTATAAGGAGATGGTAATAGGGGGTAGTCTCTTAGATAAGAGGGGGGCTACGTACAATATACTATGTTTTTTTTTTAATTGGCGCATAAACTCAAGCTAATATTGAATCGCGAGCAAGGCCGGGCACACTCAGCTAGTAGCAAATAAAACTTTAATACGTTAAATTAACATTGATACGGCAGTGTAAAATTAAAATGAAATTGATTGAATTTTCAACAAACGACGACATAATCGACCTGAACGTGGAAATTTTAGTTCAATCGTTAAACGTGTAATTTAATATTCAAAAACTTGCTTCAGTTTGAAATTGGAAATTGCAAAATATTGTTGTCTGTGAATGATCTTTAAATAATAGAACTGGATTACAGTACAGTTCTTCTTACAGGTTTTACATAGCTACACACATTTAAGAATTATACAAAATTTTAAAACGTTTCATAAGATCAATCTTTTAAACTTTGTCATTCTTAATCACGTCTCTGATTCCCACCGATTATTTGATTTTCCTTTAATACAAACATAGCAATGATCCAAAATTTCAATAATTTTCAACCCATTTTAAATCGAGTTGATTGATGCTTGACCCAGTTTTTTTTTATCCATAAGCATGACATATGAAAAGAGACTCTTAAGCTATCCGTAACCAAAGTCATCGACACTCAAAAACTTTCAACCTCAAAGGCCGATAATCCAATCGAAGAAAACGTTCATCCCAGGTGCATAAATTAGCATAATCAGATTTGTTACCGCAATTTCCAAACATTTGCAAACCATCGTGTCTGAATTTGTGCATTTATTTAAATTCCACTTAAAATAAACCATCTGGCATCACTACTTCCGTTTCTCTGCGAAGACTCGAGTCATTTCACCATTTCACTTTATTCGCGCGCGCTTCCCCAATAGCGGATCTTGTTGAACCTCACGGTGTCGCATATAAAATATACAATTTTTTTGCTATCGTCTTCACAACCTTCGTCAACCTTCTCATCATCATCGTCGTCGTCGGTTGGGTCTTCTTCCCGCTTGGCGCTTCCCGCGAATGGGGAATCGCATCGTTGAATAAATTTCGGTTTCATTTGAACAACTGATTGGTGTGTCTGTCGCTCTCTGGGTAGCTGCCTCTGTTGCTTCTTATCCGGAAGGACCGGTTTTGGACCCATCGACGAGACAACAGGGCAGCACTTCAAAAAAGGAGAAAGTACCCGTCCATTCCCAATACCCCCCTCTTCCTCACCCACTTTGCGCTGTACTCACCGGTCTGAATGGTGGCGGCTGCAGGAATCCTTGCGACAGCACACCTGTTACCAGGAAGCCCACGAACAGGATCAACCTTCTCATGATGGTTGGCACTGGGAAGCACTATTCACAGGATCAAGTTGTCAGAAAATTGGTTTGGTTTGTGCAGAATGTAACACTCGATCTCTTAAGGTACGCACTGATTCACTTGTAAGGTTTCCTTTTTCTTAAATTCTTGCAAGGTTTCACTTCACTAAGGGCATCTCTTCCTCACAAAAATAACGCCTCACATCCGGAATTGAAGCTATTCCTGATTTGTCAAATTTCCACACTGAAAATCACTTGTCACGTTTTTATCGCCTTTCGGTCGATTCACCTTCTTTATCACAAGTTAATTCAGACACGATCGGTTAATTTCACGCTTTCCTTCATCTGCCTATCAAAAAATCATCATAAATTCGCGCAAGACTGCAAAATTCCACTGCCACCGCGAAGCTGATGCTTCTGCCTCTGTTGCTGCTGCTGGTGCGAGGAAAATTTTTCCCTGGCTGTGCGAAAAAAAAAATGACAATAACCCACACTGTCTGATCTGATCACAATATACAAACTCCGCCGAAGGCTGGTGTACGATTTTTTCGTTACCTCTCGTAGCAAAGTTCCCACCAGAACTGACGGCCGCGATCAATGCTGTAATGCTAAAAAGTCTTTCTCTTTTCGGATTTTTTCCACAGTCTTTTTTGTTCCCTCGACTCTCCGATCGACATCTTTCCCTTCGTGCAAAGCGTGCATAGGTTTTCCTGCCTAGTGGTAGTAGGTATGGGAGAGTTGCGAACCACTCGGTCTCAAATTGTGGATGGGGGAGCTTTTTTTCCGCATGATTCATTCACAATCCGAGGACGACGACGACTCTCTTCTTTCTCAGCACTCGGCACGATTGCCTTTACGAGGGGATCTGGGGGTCTTTACTCTCGACTGGGGGTCTCAAGCAGCAAAATGACCATACCTGGCGAACATGAGCACTGCACTCTTTCGGAGAGATACAATTGGTCCGGTCGGGTCGATTGATGGCAGTGAGAGTGATTCGGTGCGGCGCTTGCATTTGATTGCGATTCCAGTAAAGGTGTTTTGTGTAATGCTGCTTGCGAAGGGCTTTTTTTTCTCGATGGACTACCGTAAGCTGTCAGGTTTGAACTCATAACTACTGACAGCATGGCGCCACCTTCCTATGAGGAAAAAGTTATTTAACAAAATAATGTATGAAGATTTCAACAATTTTGCAAAACAATCGCTTTTAGAAGCGAAAACAGCCAAAATATTTGTTAGGTCAGTTCGGTAAAAATTATTAAGTGTACCAAATATTTTATTCGAAAACTATCCTATGGTTTTGAGGGCATCACAATTTTTGGGTTTCTGCATTCAAATTGCCGTTACTTTTATTTTACTACCCAAGTAATATTTAACGTTTTATGAAGTACTACAAGGCTTCTATTAAACATCATTCATAAAACTCTGGTCAAGACAGCTTTGCCTTTATTACATCCACCAAAACCTCATTAAGACTAGAATCTGGCTAGTTGGCCCACCCTGAAGAAGGTTCTAAAGAGTGTATTTTCGAGACATTTCAAGAATGACTTGCTGCAAAAAGGTTATTTGACGAATGCATAGAAAAACCATATGGAATTTTTATTAAAAGTACAATAAAAGCCATTTGGCATCAATACTTGTGCCATTTGCCTTTGAAGCTTGCTACGCGCACTAAAAGTAAAGCATCAATCAAGATAAAAAGAGATACATAAATATCGTCAGATCTTGCCAAATTCACTGTTCAAAAATGAATCTTTCAAAAATCTTCATAAATTTCCTCGTCATTAAAGGTAAATAATTACTAAAATGATCGAAACGCACATTGTGGTCTTTTTTAAGGTGACAGATTAAGTCTAATGTGAAATGTGCTTCGGAAGATCGAAAAAAATGAGTCCGTCTTCGGAAAATGTTGATTTGACTAATGATTTCTAATTTATTATATCAAAATATAGTTGTTTTTTATGTTAATCATTGCTCCTAGCCGACACAATTTGATGATTTTCGTTATCTCTATAGCTGCTCATTGATGAATTGATGAGAATAAAGTTATTTTAATGGAAAAACATCTTGAAAAAGAATGTAACAAACAAATGGAATAATAACAATATGGCGATAGAATAAACATTAATTCACCATAAGCCATTTGTGAAAAGCAGTTTTGCCTTTATGAAATCACCAACAAATGCAAAACGTTTTAATGTGGCTTTTATGAAGATAATTTTCAAACTGAATTGTTTTTATCTGAAGCCATTTTACTTGATCCTATTCCGTTTAGTTGTTTTAGTAGCCTGGAAAAAGTTAAACGTCAAAAAAATATTTTTCAATGGTTTTGTTTTGCGATCATTGCAACGATATTCTACTCCAGCGTTGGATCAATAAGTTGTGTGATATCCTTGATAAGGGCGATTTTCATCTATTGGAAGCAGTTACTCAGGAAGTGTTTCTACGTAACTTGGAACAGGTGGAAGCTCAATCGCTCCTGAAAAGTTTTCCTTCTTCCAGATTAGTTGAAGTTTATGTGCGCTTGTTTGGAATTTTTGGAACAGTTCAAGCATAACTTTTCAAAAGGACGTATGTAACTTTGGATAGGAAATTAGAAACATTGGATAGCAATGTCTATATGAGATTATTAAATGCTATTTAAAAGTTAATGCTATTTTTTAAATCTGTTTGTGCTATTAGTTGGATAAAGGGATAGCGTTTAAGAGAATTGTGAAAAATGTCGAGTCGGACAAGACTTTTGATAAAACAAAATCATACACCTTTTACTTGTGTACTACTCACATACACCCTGATTGATTCGTCGGTATCACACCTTGATTGTTACATACACCCTGCATGATTCGTCTATTTGACAGAAGGGTTTTCACATACGTCAAATCAGATACACCGGTTTTTGTTTTGCAGTGAAGATACGTCGGCAGCTCGAAAAGCATTGAGGAATTGTCGGTTGGTTGGTTTATTAACATAACTACCCAGAGTTGTGAAATAATCGATATTAAAAGCGGAGATGAGAGGGTCACCGCATTATCTGCTGTCAGATGTTATACGTTTTGTGTTTTTCGTATTAAGAAAGCGCTAGTCAGATTGGTATGTGAAGTTCAATATTAAAGTCAAGATTAAAGTGCAATTTTATTAGAATACTTCTGAAATAATAAACATGTTGCTCCCGGAAATACAAAAACAAACATACAAACTTGACGTATTTGCTGATTGATAGTGGTTACTTTGTTTTTTCACATACGACGCTTCACTGTGAGCGTATCTGCATTTTTTGTGTTATCATCAAATTTTAACAGTTAAGTCATGTTGACAATAAAAGGGTGTATCAACACCATTTTAAAAATAATGAAAGAAGGTCACATAGGGCGTTCATTAAATATATTTTCCATAATACATTACAATTTCAAACCTTGTTTTTCATTAACTCGTAGGAAAAGCATGTATTTTATATTCGGTTAGATGCAAAATACCGATTTGTTTATTTTTGCGACTTACGTCCTTTTGAAAAGTTATGCCGTAGTTCACCCTTTCGCCGAATTAAATCGTTGATATTGTACGGAAGGCAGCCAATTTCCAGCTGAAGGACAGCTTATTCTAAGTCGGCTGCTCTGTTGTTGTTGAACGGTTTTGTCGGAGCTGCGGGGCCTCCCAGAAAGTTCTGGAATTTGATTCCTTTTCTCTTCCGTCGACAGCATTGCTCTGTCTTTCTGGCGGATTCTCTGTCTCTAGGTGGATCCATCTTTTTAGTTGTACTTCTAAACAGTGGGAAGTTTTGTGATACATTTTATTGACACCAAAACGCATCAATATGCGCTTTTTGATCCCGTTATAAACCGAACGGTTTTATAATTGCTTATAAAAGCATCTAAATAAAGCATCTTTATGGATAATAAAGATATAATAAATAATAAATAAAGCATCTTTATGGATTATTTGGTTGTGACATCAATAAAACAAATGCCGGGCAGTTTTATGATTGATTTACTGAACAGTTTTATAAAGAGATAGAGTGCTGCATTAGATTCAATTTTAAAACTAGACACCTTCTGATTTCTCGTCAGATGTTATAGGGTTTTTAAAACAGCATAATGCATGAACTACTAATCAAAAATGTTTTGCACTATTAAATGCTGCATTTAAACTAAAAAGATTGCTTATTGCCGTTATAAAACCACAATAAATTAGAGTGAAAGACAAAAGGCTGTTAAATTGTTGCTTGAGTAGCGACATCTGATGCGAAAATCAAACATGCAAGCAATGCATTGTGTTAGGAACAAGGTAAAGTATGAAAAAAGAGCTGGTGGATTGTAAAATAAACGTTTTCGACGGAACGCAAGCCCGAGCAACTAGGATCCTCAGAACTTGTTTAAAAAAAAATATTGGAAAACATGGTTAGCTGTAAAAAATATTTAGAATATAGGGGAAATGGCTCTAATGTTGGCCTATGGATCTAAGATTGGGCCTTATGGATATTTTCTGTCGCTATTGCTAATTTAGTCGATTACTGAATTTATGTATGGGCCCAAATTAGGGACATTATGCCATCCATTTCCCCTATTTCAAAAAACTATAACATCGCGATTTTTTTACTCTGTAGAAAATTTCAAAGAGCCATAACCTTTTCGGACGTCCATGAAATATTCTCAATTCTTGGACAGTGCTAAATGGTGCAATTATCAGCGTACTGGGTAGAAGCTGTAAGATGTTTGAATATTTTTAACAAAACGCTTCTCCTTTTAAAAAATTGAATTTCCTGAAGTGTAATGAATCAAATATGTTGAAATATTGCTAATCGATAGTCAAGACATGGTTCATTCATATGTTTCAAGTTTTACTAAAATCCTTGCAGTACAAATGATTAAACAGTTTTTTTTATCGCCATATATAAAATTTGGCACGGTTATATGCTTTTGTCTGATCTGGGTTTTCACTCTGCGGATAAAAGTATTTAACCTTGTCAAATTTTTGAGATGGGGAAAAAAATCTGAAAACTAAATTCCGTATACTTGACCAACTAGCAGCGAAGATTTCATAAAATTTCATGAACATCCAAAAAAAAGTTATGGCTCTTTGAAATTTTAAACAGAGAAAAGAAAAATCACGAGGTTATATACCGTAAAACGGGGTAAAATTGATAGTTTTTTAAAAGTATATTCTAAATATTTTTTACAGCAATGAAAATATTTTTAAAACAAGTACTGAGGATCCAAGAGTTGAATCGTTAGCAATATGTTTAACGGAAATTAAGGCATTTGCATTTATTTTTTATTTTTGTTACCGAACTTCAGTATTTTGATTTGGGGTTACTTTGATAATGCTCGACTAATGTAGAAAAAAAAATGGGTGTAACTCAAACAATTTAGTTCTTTGAATATGAAACTTTAAATGAGTATATAATCAGAAATCATCATAAGCAATAAGAATACAATATTGAATTTGTGATGGCTTTATCGGAATACATTTCATAAGTGATGGTTTGAGTGCTTTGTCAAACAGGCGAAAAACACGCAAATTGTTTTTAATATGTTTGTAAAATATGGAACACATACTATATAAAGTTTATTTACGATATCAACA